GAAAATTTGGGAATAAAATCTCACCCTCAGTGCTGTAGTGAATTGTGCTTCTGCGTTATCCATGCAGTTGACAGAGATGCAGTAGAGACCCTGGGAAAGAAAGGGTATTTTTGGGAATGCAGCCCAAAACATTCCTGAATCCATGGAAATGTTGGGATAAGAGCAGGAAAAAGGGAGCAATGAGTCTCGAGTGTGGGGAAAATCAGGAATTTTCACAAAATGTCCTTTAAAATAAATTATTAATGGGAAAAAAAAAAAAAAGCTTAATTTAGCTTAAAAAAAGGCTTTCTTAAAATTATGGAAAACTCAGTATTCCCTACAAAAATCCTTCCCCTGCCACAATTCCCACAGAAAACCATCTCCAGTAGGCACAGCTGAAATCCCTGGATTTCCCTTTTTCCAGCTGATTCCTCCCAAATTCCCCCTCCCTTCATGAAGGAACTGCTACCAGGTAAGGCCTTGATGGCAAAAACACCCCGGAAAAGCCAAATCCAGGGAATTTCCTCCACAGAAAAGTGGGATTTTCTCTCCAGGAGCTGCTGGAGCAGCCTGGGATAGTGGGAAGTGCCCCTGCCCCACCCAAGCCATCCTGGAATTCTGCTTCCAAAGGGTTTCAAGGCGGGGATGAGCTCCCGCAGCAGTGCAGGATGCAGATCTGTAATTCCCAGGGAATCTCCTCTCTGGAATTCTGTGTGGGATGCAGAATCCCAAGGTTTCACCCCAAAAACTCACCAGGAGCGTGTGCAGCTGGGCAGCGTGGTTGGAGAAGAGCCTGGGAGACTGCTGGCACAGCTGGCAGACCTGGGAAATCTGGGAAAGAACACAATTCCCCGTTTTTCCACCCAAATCCCGCTCCTCGCTCCCCTCATGGATGCAGGGATCGGCTCCAGCATCTCCGGGGCTGGGTGTGAAAAGGGATTTCCTCACATCCCTCCCACATCCCAGCTGCTTTGGAATGGTTTCCTCCACCCCCTGGAATTCACGGCCACTCCTGAAGCGCTCCAGATTTTCCAGGAAAAGCGGGATAAAAGCTCCCAAAATCTGGGATTGGGGCGAGTTCCTGGAGACTGGAGCAGGAGGCTGAACCCCTCCCCATTCCCAGCACATTCCCAGTAAAGCTGACAGCAAGGACTGGGTGATCCCGTCCCGGGATGGATCCCCACGATTTTAAAATGATTGGAAAAATGGGAAAAAGAATGTTCAGCTTCCTCTGGAACAGCACAAATCAACCAGGAAAGAGGAGGAAAAGCAGGAATGTGAAAAAATGGGAAACACCTGGACGAGGCAAGGACTGGAAGAGGAAGGGGAAGGAGCCACTCTGGAATGGATGGAATGGGAAAGAAAACACTGGAATCAGCCTGGAATTGCCACCAGGAAGGTGCCAATCCAATCAATTATTGATTATTCCATGATCAATTCCAAAGTGCCCTTAAATAAACGTTTTAGAGGAGCCAATCCCACATTTCCCAAGTCCTGAGCCCCACCAAGGCTGGCTGAATCCATGATTACCCCAGCAGGAATTCCCACCTGAGCCCAAAACTGCAATTCCCACATTTTGAAGGCTGTTCCTGCAGAATATTCCCATTTTTTGTGAGCCATTCCCAGGCAGGAAATGCTGGAATTCCCACGTTTTGAATGCTGTTCCTGCAGAATATTCCCATTTTTTGTGAGCCATTCCCAGGCAGGAAATGCTAGAATTCCCACGTTTTGAATGCTGTTCCTGCAGAATATTCCCATTTTTTGTGAGCCATTCCCAGGCAGGAAAGGCTGGAATTCCCACGTTTTGAATGCTGTTCCTGCAGAACATTCCCATTTTTTGGGAGCCATTCCCAGGCAGGAAGGGCTGGAATTCCCACGTTACCTCCTGCAGGGCTGTGGCTTTGTGTCCCGTGACCAGCCTGCACATGATGATGTGTTCCAACAGAATCACTTGGAATGAGGACAGGATGGGGCTGCAGTCCAGCACTGGGAAAGGAGCAGGAGCAATTCCATCAGGCATTCATGGAATGTTTCAAATCCCACCCCAAAAAAAAAAACACCCAAAAATCTCATTTTTGTACTCCAAAGCCACCACCTGGCCTTAAAATCAGGGGTTTAATCTTGGTTTCAGTCTTAGGCTGACCCAGCAACTCAACCAGGCTGCGGGATGGGTTTAAATGAGGAGCAAATAACGGGATTTTCCAGGATTTTCCTGGAATCCAGCTGAACTCCAAGCCCTTTTTCCTTACTTTTGAGCTTCTCCAGCTGCATGAGGGCTTTGTCCGTGTACTTCTGAGCCTTCTCCAGGTAGCCTGCCTGCATGGAATGCATCACTGTCACCTGCAGGGAAGCACAGCACGCATTACCCACCTGGGCTGCAATTCCCACCTGGGCTGCAATTCCCACAGCGGAAATCCCTGGGAAGTCCTGGAGCACCCCAGGATGGTGGGAGGTGTGACTGAGAGGGTGGGAATGGATTATTTTAAAGTTCTTTCCCACCCCAACCATTCCACAATTCCCAAAATTTGTCTGGGCAGAGAGGGAAGGGCTGGGAATTCACGGAATTCCTCAAATCCCAGATTTTTAACGTCACCAAGGGTTGGAACCATCTACAAGAAATGGAACAAAATCCTTCAGCAATTCCAAATCCAGCTCTCCTCAAGCTGATATAATTAAGCCAAAGCGGTTCTGCTTTGTGCAAATGACTCAATTTTCATTTGACTCAGGTATTAATTAATGAATTAGTGAGTTATTAATAAATTAATTCCCGTTTCCAGCCTGGAATCTCCTCACACACTGAGCAGCCCCCTCAGCATCACCCCAGGGCCGCTGAGGGGGAAAAAAGCACCAAACAGGTGATAAAATTAAGCCAAAGTGCTTTTCTTTTGTATAAATAACTCAATTTTCATCTAAGTTGGATGTTAAATAATAATTTAATTAATAATTAATTAATTCATCCCCATGTCCAGCCTGGAATCTCCTCACACACTGAGCAGCACCCTCAGCATCACCCCAGGGACACTGAAAGGGAAAAAAGCACCAAACAGTTGATAAAATTAAGCCAAACTGGCTCTGATTTTTACAAATTACCCCATTTCCATTTGAGCCAGGTACTAATTAATAAACAATGTAATAATTAGCTAATTAATCCCCGTTTCCAGCCGGGAATCTCCTGACACACTGAGCAGCCCCCTCAGCATCCCCCCAGGGACACTGAGGGGGAAAAAAACACCAAACAGTTGATAAAGTTAAGCCAAACTGGCTGTGATTTTTACAAATTACCCCATTTCCATTTGAGCCAGGTACTAATTAATAAACAATGTAATAATAAATTAATTAATCCCCGTTTCCAGCCGGGAATCTCCTGACAGACTGAGCAGCCCCCTCAGCATCCCCCCAGGGCCCTGCGGGAAAAGCAGCCCAAAGCAGCTCCAAACCCGCTGGCTCCAGAGCGCTCATTAAGGGCAATTAGCAGTAATTAGCTCTCACCAGGTAGACCAGCACACACATGTGCTCCTTGGGCAGCCAGTGGAAGAGGTCGGCGGGGTTGCTGGGCAGGATCTCGTCGTCGTGCAGGGTGGAGATGGTCTGGATGCACTGCTGCAGCTGCTTCAGGCACGGCTTCACGCTCTTCACCTGTGAGCGAGTCCCGCACGTTCCCTCCGGAATTCCTCACGGCCCTCCGGAATTCCTCGCGTCCCTCCGGAATTCCTCACGGCCCTCCGGAATTCCTCACATCCCTGCCTCTGGGATGCTCCGGGAGAGCAATTCCCAACCATTCCCACCAATTCCCAACCATTCCCACCAATTCCCAACCATTCCCACCAATTCCCAACCATTCCCTCCGGAATTCCTCACAGCCCTCCGGAATTCCTCGCGTCCCTCCAGAATTCCTCACGTCCCTGCCACTGGGATGCTCTGGGAGAGCAATTCCCAACCATTCCCTCTGGAATTCCTCACATCCCTGCCGGAATTCCTCACATCCTGCTGCTGGGATGCTCCCTGACCACCAATTCCCAACCATTCCCAATGGAATTCCTCACATCCCTACCGCTGGGATGCTCCGGGAGAGCAATTCCCAACCATTCCCTCTGGAATTCCTCACATCCCTGCCAGAATTCCTCACATCCTGCTGCTGGGATGCTCCGGGAGAGCGATTCCCAACCCTGAAAATCTCATCAGAGACCATACAAAAATATATAAATATATAAACACATAACGTGTATATATATATATAAATACAAAAACATAAATTGTATGTCTATTATATAAATTTATACAATTTTCACACTATTTATGTAAAAACATAAACGATAAAATAAAAACCTAAGGGACGTCTCTCGACTACCGCGAGCCACGCCATTCGGAACGAAGCCAAGAGGAGCTCGCTTCCATGAAATCCCCCAATCCCGTGGGGCTGTTCCCGTACCTGCCCGGCGTCCAGGTAGTGCGTGACCTGCAGCACCAGGAAGAAGACCCGCAGCGATTCCTTCTGGATGGGGTTGCCCTGCCAGTTCTCCACGATCTGCCCGCACAGCGTCAGCAGCGGGTGCACCTCCTGCAGCTTCCGCTCCATCAGCAGCAGCTGCAGCGCCAGGGGAAAGCGGGAGAATCCCGAGGGAATGGCAGTGCCAGGGGAAACCGGGAGAATCCCGAGGGAATGGCAGTGCCAGGGGAAAGCGGGAGAATCCCGAGGGAATGGCAGTGCCAGGGGAAAGCGGGAGAATCCCGAGGGAATGGCAGTGCCAGGGGACAGCCGGGAGAATCCCGAGGGAATGGCAGTGCCAGGGGAAAGCGGGAGAATCCCGAGGGAATGGTAATCCCTCAGGAATGGCAGTGCCAGGGGACACCGGGAGAATCCCGAGGGAATGGCAGTGCCAGGGGACAGCCGGGAGAATCCCGAGGGAACGGCAGTGCCAGGGGAAACCGGGAGAATCCCGAGGGAATGGCAGTGCCAGGGGACAGCCGGGAGAATCCCGAGGGAATGGCAGTGCCAGGGGACAGCCAGGAGAATCCCTCCGGAATGGTAATTCCAAGGGAAAGCCGGGAGAATCCCTCCGGAATGGTAATTCCAAGGGAAAGCCGGGAGAATCCCTCCGGAACGGCAATTCCAAGGGACAGCCGGGAGAATTCCTCAATTCCGGGATTCCCCAATTCCAGGGATTCTCCAATTCCATGGATTCCCCAATACCATGGATTCACCACTTCCATGGATTCCCCAATTCCATAGATTCCCCAATTTCAGGATTCCCCAAT